TAATTCGCTTGCATGTAGAGGTCTTTAGCAGTGGGAAGAAGCAGGAGGACCCAGAGAAAACCCATGAGGTAACCATGTACAAGCGGGGAAACAAAAGGATGGTTATAAAGATTGATTTTTATCATGTATGGTCTTAATAGTATGTATATATTTGCCTTTATCCTGGAATACTCTTCCTTTAAATCTCATATACATGTGCCATAAAGTCAAATATCTAATCAATTAAAGATACATTATGGGAGATTTTTATAGAGAATTGGCCATTCTTGCTATAACAGTTCAAAAGTAGATGATGAAAGAAGAATATATTGAAAATTTCAGTCAAATTACTTTATTCTGAACATAGTTATCATCGTTGTAATATTTGACTAGAAATGGTAGTGAAATGTGCCTTCACCTTGATTGACAGGCGTTAACTCCACCTACATATCTCGATTATCAAGTAAAGTTTTCAATGGCATGCGGAAACGCTCTACAGCGGCCTCGCTAAGTACACTCTATCATTTAGCCCTGATCTAACTGACGTATTCTGATCAGGATGCGCCATATTTGAATTTATTAATAAGTGAAATCCTATTTAAATCCGAGCTGTAGCCGAGCCATCCGTGGGTCTACAGAGTTGATTTTGGGCTTGTTGTTTAAATAAAGATCTAATTTATAATTTCTATAACATCTGAAGCCTAAATTAAGACTTGCAATAATCAGATTTTGCTCTTGCATAATGCATGTTTAAAAGAACACTTAAAAAAATTAAATTCATATTATTCATTAGCCAGTCTAGGTTTCTTTTGAGGCTAGTAAAGAGAAGATGGCATGCATCTGAGGGTAGGCCATACTAGAACAATAATCCAGAATTGAGATCTAAATGGACTGTTGATTTGGAAGGTACTGAATGATACCAAAAAAAAACCTGTGAAAATTTGAGTGTTTTTGAGACTAACACTATCATAAGATACTTCTAAGGATGACAAGAGGTGAAAAAACATCAGTAGAGCTGGGCGATATTTCGATATAAAATAGTCACAGAAATAAGAACTGTCAAATATACTGTCTTAAGAAAAATACTGCGATATACATGTATGGCAGTTTTGATTTTTCTGGATGATATTTAGCATAAATATTGAAAAAAATGTTTTTCTTTTTATGTTATTTACCATATTTTATTGTTTAATAATATATAGAAAACAATAATAACATTTGAGCTTTGTTTACACCATGTGATGTCTCCCAACCGGTACTGTTAGAATCATCTCTGCTCCTTTTTAATGTTCTACGTGTCTTGATGAATTGTGTTCATATGAGCTAGGCGATATCCCTAGAAACAAATAACGCGATATTCATAGATTATTTGTTTCCAGGGATAGGCTATCCCCCAGCTCTAACCATCAGGCATTTTGAATTTAAACAAATCTCTGAGGCAAACAAATACTAATATTGAAATCCCCTCAAGACACTAAGTTGATCACCAGCAAGAACTTACCATATGTTTGAATCCGGAAATTGATTTTATTTTCAGACGGATGAGGAACTGTGTAGCCACAAAACTGAACATCACTACTAAAAAATAATTATTAAAAAAGAATTATGTTAGTAGCAAAAAGTGTACGGCTACACAATAGTATTATAGTTGGATTACAACACAAGGGAGATAAATCCAATTTGAGCAGGGCAAATCTGATGCAAAGAAAATAAAATGGAGTTTCACGTCCTACAGGTTAACGAAGATGTGCATACGCCATTCAGTGTGCTGTGAGGGTAAAAAGGCCTGGGCACCCCAGCAGTACCATGATCTACTCTTATTTCAAGTTATTTTACGAGTACATACACATTTACACAGGACCATGGTTTTTAGTCCCATCTGAATGAGTAGACCCTAGCTGTTTCTTACCAGACCCTCATTCTTGCAACACTATTGACAATGGGATGGAGACGTGGAAATGGGGGTTTAATGGCCACTTGACACAAACTAGGTTATTTCGGGACTAACATATGGTTCAATTTTATTTCAAGAATTCCTTTTGCGCATAGGGGTCTTTAACAGTGGGAGGAAACCGGATGACTCAGAGAAAACCCACAAGGTTTGACAGGCAACCCTACTCCTTGTCACATGTACAAGAAGGGATTCAAAAACCATGCCACTTACTCAGTGACAGACCTTATGATACTACCATCCAACCCCGCCTTTTACTGACAATTCTTAAAAAAAACCAAGATCAATCCCTGGACAAACTAGTTAGTGATACAGCTCCTTACTCGCTGGTGTATTCGTATACCCACTGGTGTATTCGTATACCCACTTTTTGATGATGACTACAATAAAGGGAGATAAATCCATTTAATTTGAACAGGGTCAAACTGACAAAAGTGTGAGGTAAAAGTATACTTACTTCTTCATGATGATGTATCGAAGTGAGTTGCCCAATGTATGATCTTCATTATGCATGACAAATGTTTTACATGAATCAGCTTCTGTATTACCGCTATCAATCTAATAAAACACAAACAAGTCATTATTTCTATACGATGGTTTATTCACTTATAGATTTACAATTGTAAATACAAACAATACAATACTGACACATCTACATGCATGTAACAATCAGGAGTTGATTGTATACTATCATGGGTATTATTAATATTTAATACCATTCAAATCATTCTGATTTTTTAAACTTTTAGCAATTTTCGCGATATTAGTTTTACTAAAATTGGTATGAGCCATTCTGAAGAGGAAATACTGCTTTGAAATCACACAAATATGACTGAAAAGAACCGATTTTAATACCATAGCAAGCATCGACTGTTATAGAGCATAATTGATTACCGTACATTATTGACGTCTATCTCGGATTTAAAAATTGTCTTATTTCTATTATCTTAGCGCAATGACAGGGCTCACACTGGCTTTCAATTTTTTTTCGCCAAAATGAATGCAAATTTTTATATAAAAAAATGTTCATATTTTTTTCACGCCAACTGGAATATCTATCTGCCTAAAATGTGTAACAGTTGTATTTCTCAGATGGGCCTACTATAAAACATTTACCGGTTTATACAACAACTTAAAAATCTGAACTTTACATAATGCATTAGCTCAGTTTTGAGATGATTTACTAAGATAAGATTTTATTTTGGGTGACTTTAGTCTATTTGCCCACTGTATTGCACAATATATTTTCAATATTTTCACATCAAATCTCATCCAAGGATTGACAATTTTCTATAAATATGTTTTGCGTGCACAATAAGCCTATCTCTGAAAGAATAATATAAATTTCGATATTATTTGTAAGAGTCTAAGAGGTGCTTACAATTATACTCATTTTGGCGGCAGTAACATCGTAATATGAAGCAAATAGCTGATTGTTTTCTTACTGAAGAATCGTTGTTATTTGACTCGTTCTTACTTTTCCCACCAAAGGTGATCATATAATTTGAAATAATAATATCCGACTAAGCATGCTTGTATATTTTACATGCCATATGAAGCCACGGTTCAACTATGAAATTAGTCTCAGTCACCCAGAACCCCGTAGTCTTAAGACGGAGGATCTGGGACCATTGTCAATATTTGATGAAAAGTCCATTCCCCATGCGTAACCAGGAGTTTGGTTTTTAATGTGGTTGATTATCCAGTATCTTTGGCCAAGTCAAGTAAGAGTTGCGTGCTCTTCCGGTAATACAGGAGCCTAACTGAAACTGTCACTCACAGACCATCTCAAACCCGATACACTGAGCAAAACTGGCAAGGCACATTTCAACTTTAATACCAAATCTTGCCCAAGCGGGATTACGCGTCTATTTCTTTGACACATTTAATCAATGACGTCACATATTTTTGATGTCAATGAAAATATTCTCACAATTTTTTTGTCTTTTTTAAAACAAAATCAATCATACAATTTACATACATGTAGATCTAAATTAAAATCAATTTGGAAAAAACGAAATTTCAAATTATTGAACATTATAAATTATTTAATGTATCACTTGAGAAACTTAATTATGATAGGGTGACCCATGTACTCACAGAAATACAGTCCACCGCTGATAGTTCGAGACTACCACTGAAGCATGCACATTCGCCGTGCCGAGACCAACTTTCTGACAGTATGATACTATAAATAGCCATGGCACGTGCAATTCTCTACAAATCTATCAACTATTACAGCCGTAAAAAATTTATTGTTGACGATTTTGAATAGCAGTAAAATTAAGCTTCTTGGTTATTACAGCAGATTTAGAAATTACGTTTGTTTCATTTTTTAAATCGCTTTATCATTAACTGTACCGTTAAGAGCGGCATCTTTTGGTTTAGTACAAATAATATCTCTGAATCACTCGGGTTAGACAGGAACATGATACTAGCAGTAGTTTCATTTTACTTTTACAAGCTTCTTAAAACGATTGTTGAACTACCTAACGTGCTTATTTCTAAATTCAATTTCTTGTTCTTGCTTTCTGTTATGTTTCGTAAAAAAGTAGTCTTGATTATCCCGATCTGTCAATCAGACGTAGAATGGTCGATAGACTGGTTAAGCATGACTAATTTCAAAACAAGGGCACGTAACCTATCTTTTACTCAAAAGTGTCTGGATGTTATGGACGACTCTTGGAACCAGTTTTCAGTCTATTATTTATACATGATTAATGGTCATAGCTTATTAAGTACAACATGAACATTTATTTAGTGACTATAATTGTGTGAAACTGATTTGAGGCTTGGCATATATATAAATATTGTGGCGTAATTGTCGAGATATATGGAGATATTTATTTATGGTGGGTCACCCTAATTATGATGGTATGACAACAATCACATCAGCTTAACATTTTTTGCATCACCTGAGAAACTTCATAATCATTGTGAAGGTTTCAGATTAAGATCTAACAAGAATCTTGCTTCACTCTACTCAGGCAATGCCTGTGACATATCATAAGAACATGTTTAAAAGCATGTCGTGTAATTAATATACGACATTAATGGCCAAACAACTTACAACTTCTAGTCTTCGATGAACAATTGTTTTGCCTTCTTCCATTTTAAAGCTTTTCAACCACGTGTTATCCTTACTTCCGGGTTTCTTCTCACAATACTACGGACAGGTCTTGGACTAACAACCGTTGGGAAATTAAAATAATTGTTCTTTCCAACTGCTAATATTTTTTAAAAAATGGATGTTTCGTAGATTAAAATTGTATCTTTAAAGTTTTAATAACAAAATACACATATAATTTACGTGAACTATTTCTTTTAATAAAACCAAAACTAATACAAATCCAATTCTGGAGTCAATCCATATTTCTAAAAATCATGTGACAATGAGATGTCACTTCCGTTTTTGTCAATAGTAAACAATCATCGAATCCAAAATAGAGAATTTACTAAAAAATTAAGCGAATAATTGGTGATATTGTTGCCTTTTTTGGTGCAGTCATTAATAATTACAGAAAAACTAGGTATTATGATAAGTAATTTTGACAAAAACCTATGAAAAATACCTGTTGATTGATGCGATTCGGAGAATGATTTGTGTTGTTTCAGTTTGTCAGTCCAATGTTATGTTGGGATTGCAATAGAGATTGACTGACATCTGAATCTGAATGCATAGTCGTAGATGCCAATTACTGGCTTTTACACGACGGATGGAGTGCGCTAGTTAATGTTTTCTAGTTTAGATTTGAATAATTCGATTGACTCTCAGTTCACTGTATCATCAATTCATCACTGAGTTTATTCAAGTCGTATCGTATACAGTTAAATTCGTACAAAGTATGAGTATTTGATTTTGAATATGTCACTTTTAGCAATAAGGTCTGTCAAAGTTTTTCCAGTCCTGAAAACAAATGTGGTTTGAGCAGAATTGTGGTGTAAATTATGTTGTATTCAAACATTCAGCAATAAATAGTGACTATTAGTATTACTGTCGTCATCACTTTAATTCTTATATTTAATATTGACCCCCATTCAAGGGATTGAGATAATTAAATTCTGGAAATTCAATCACAGGAATATATTAGGGATGTACTTTAATTAATCTTAGAAACACTGTTAAAGTGATTAGTCTTGGCCGAATGAACAGGACACTTGGCTGGTTGTGAGACAGTGAGTTTTTTTCCTGCTCAGCAGGTGGATGCTATATCGTTACCCTCATTATACGGAAAAGGGGCAGACCTTATCATTGGCCCAAAGGATATGAATATTAGTTATGCGGAAATTAAGAATCATACCAAACCCAGTCCTAACTCGGTCTTCATTAACCCAACAATGCAGAAAAGTAGGATGTTAAACCCCATTTCATTTATTTTTCATTGGTTATCAACAACACATTTAGCACAATGAAAGATAAAGATAGAGAGTTTGAAAAATAAACAAATGTGGTAAACTGTTCTCTTATCTATGGACAGCTTTTGAACAATTTAATGAATTATGAAATTTTTGAAATAAGAGATATGAATAAAAAGGAATCAGGGACCACTGCAAACATCCAAACTAATAACCAGCGGAACTGGGTTGGAGTGTTGACCTTGGATAAAAAATGATAAATTAAATGTTGAATCATGAATTTAAAAAGTGTAATATGTGGGTGGTTAGTTAAGAGATCTGTCTGTGTGGTTTTACGTTTGGTTTCAAGTGTTGAAATTTTGAGATTGTCTTATTTTGATAAAGGATTGTGTAAGGAATACAAATTCTTTGTTCATGGGCAGGTCCCTAAGCCAGCTTGCTGGCTTCGAAGGGGCAGTGAAGTTTTTAGTTCGGGGGTGCGGGAGGTACAGTCTACAGTAGGTATTTTAGAGCTATGGTCGGCATTTTTTTTTCGAGCAGGCAAAACATTTTTTCAAGGGGCATTGCGCCCCCTTGCCCCACGCTGGCTACGGGCCTGTTCATGGGTTTGTAATAATAAGGTTCATGTAAAAACAAGAGCTACATGTAAATGGATTAATGATACAACTTTACCCAAATCCCCTGAAATCCAACAATATTGCACAATCTCATTGATTATCAGTCATGAAATGTCTTTTTTTTATAATTCATTCATAATCTACTTAAAATCGGAGCCATCCAATGGCCCAATGAGTTGGTTATAGGCTGGGTTTGTCATGTTAATAAATGTCTAATTAATAATTTATATAATTCTTGAAGTCAGAAAAAAGATCTGCAATGTGAAGATTTAGCTCTTAGGTAATGCATCCTTAGTTAGCTCTTACATAATGCATCCTTAGCTCTTACATAATGCATCCTTATCTCTTTACAAGCAAAGAAAAAAAGCTATACTATATTTGTACATCATATTTTGTAGGTAGAAGGAAGAGTTGTCAATAATCAATCAAGATGCCTATATTATTTGCTGTAGTTGCTAGAGGTGCTACTGTGTTAGCGAAGTATGCCAGTTGTGCCGGAAACTTTACACAAGTAACAGAACAAATTTTGGCTAAAATACCAACAGCTGATTCTAAATTAACATACTCACATGGAAAGTATGTACATTTTATTATATCATTTGTAACTAGGGGGTATATGTATGTACAATTCTGTAGGAGCCCCTAGTTGTGTCACCACCAGAAAAAGTTTTATTTATGGAAGTGGAACTTCAAATTTGTGTAAAATTCTGGCTATCCCAATGAATATTGTCTTTTATTAATTCTGTAGATTTGTTTTTATTCTTTGCACTGTGGATGTGATTCCATGAAGGTCCTTTTCTATTAACTATTGCTAATAATTTAAAGCATTCAAATCATCGCTACTCTAATGTTGACTATGTATACAAAGTGGTTAGAAATTATACATTATTCATTAATTACCCATCACTGATGAATACACAAACTCACCCAATAGTCATGAATATCTCTTAAAGGAGCTAAGTCTCTAACTCAATATTTTTCATAATATTCGAAATTAAAAGCATTAATTAGAATTCAATATTGATCAATTTCAATCAATATTGATGCTATCTTGCCGTGAAACTATAGGATCATTCCTAATATCCAATATTTAAGACATAATTACATGTAACATTTTATAATGAGTGCACGAGTTGTGTAGTCTATGGTTTTGGTAGCCATTTAGTAATGAACAAATAAAAACATATCCTACTTGACATTGTGGAAGTACATGTAATTAGTAAAAGTTGATTCACAAACAAGAAAATAAGAATTTAAAAAACGTGTAGAATGCACTAAGTAGCAGGTGTCACATATTTCACCGAACATAATTGATTAGAAATTACAAATATTTTTTTTCAAAAATTGAATATAAATCACTTACATACATTCATATTACATTAATACATGCTTTTAGAACCATTTTAGTCTATTTCAAGATTCCAAAAAATAGAGCCATGTGCCCTTTAAAAGTCATGATCTTAACCCCTTGATGACCTAACCCTTTCAACTTGATTTTTTGGTATTTTTTATTTGATAGAACAATATTTTATTCTTGAAAGATATGTATGCATACTATATTAAAGACGTGTACACATACTGTATTGAACATATGTACACACTACACATACTGTATTAAACATAGATGCATGAACATACACTGTGACTGTACATACATTTACATGTATTGAAGATATGTACACATACTGTATTAAAGATATGTGCACACATACTGTATTTAAGATATGTACACACACTGTGTTAAAATTATGTAAACATACTGTATTTAGGAAAATATGTTAAACTATAAGAAGCATATGTAGTTATATTTGATTATTTTGTTTCAGTTATTTATTTCACTATATTAGTGAAGATAAGATTATATATCTGTGTATAACAGATGATGTAAGTAAAATATATCTTTTCACCTGTTTTATATACTTATCATAAATATATTTTATATACTTGTCATCTTATCATCAATATAATTTATATACTTATCATCTTATCATCAATATATTTTATATACTTACGTGTATCATCAATATATTTTATATAATTACCTATATAGGATTTACCTGGCCTCTCAAGAGCTAAACGACACTAACAAATGTGCAATACGGGAAAATTTCTAACAGCAAACCAATGTCACACTACCTCACATGATGAGTGATGACCAAATAATTTCACTGCTAATAAAGGTCGACCATGACAGTGATAAAAAATGTGGCTAAATATTTGAGAGACTAAAATTGGTCAGATCTCTAAAAAATACTGAGTGGCATGTAGTATGTACAAATTAATAGGAGTCCTGTATGTGTTTAGATTAACAGACTTTATTTATTTTCAACTTCTGTTACTAAACTGCTTAATTAGGTACTGGGTAGGTAATTTGATGTGGTTGTCAAGATCTGTTCAAATGAAGTTACTTGGTCCTAATGGAACAGAGAACTGGCACCATAAATTAAGGGAAAAATGAAATTTTTGACTATTTTTTCAAACCAACTCAAGAGATTTCAAGCAAAATTGTTAGATGTGGTGCCTTGTTGTTTCTAATGACGATTTAGTTTAAACTTGCATGATCCCAGAAGGGTTGACTCACTTGATTGGGTAAATTAAGGGATTTGTGACATCATCTCCATCACCACTTTGTAACATTAATATATATCATAATGGTGAACAGTAAATTATTTTTTCTTGTTTTCAGGATTTTGAAAGATCAATTGCTTTTGCATTTCTGAACGATATAAAAAGAAGGTAAAATGATTTATTTAATAAGAAAAGCACTTTATTATTCTGTAATAAACTTATCTCGTAATATACATGTTTAAGTAAATACATATTTACAGCATGATTATCAGATAGTGTAAATATTAATAACAGAACTTTAAGAAGACCACTTCAACATGTCCGAGGTTCTATATACATATATGATCACCAGTTTCTCTACCCAAGTCATTCATCAAGGAGTGGCCTGACATAACATTAGCAAATGATCATGCTTTTTATTAATTGAATATGACTCTATAAACATATGACACACAGAGAGAGGGTTTAATGTCCACAAACATTTTGGATCTAACATATGGTTCAATTTTATTTCAATAATTCACTTGGAAGAAAATCAGAGTACCCAGAGAAAACCCACGAGGTTAGACATGTGACCCTACTCCTTGTCATGTACAAGCGGGGATTCGTAACCACACCACTTGACTCACTGCCAGACCTTACGATCTAGCAGGCAAGCCTTTATCCATTGGTACCCAACCCCCTTCGATTCTGTGAACCATGTTTTCAATAAAATATGATTATGTAACATTGACAGGTTTCAAGGTCAGTATGGTGTCCGAGCTCAGACAGCCTTACCGTATGCTATGAACAGTGAATTTTCTCGTGTTATAGCTTCTCAGATGGTTTGTATATATATCATACTTCATTCAATATAGATTAAATCATTTATTTTCTCCTCAAGATTTCCAAAATCTACTTTTTAACAAATAGTTTTTAATTTTGAGTTCCAACAATATTTTTAGAAATCTGTAATGTAGATTTGTTTATATTAATTATTTTCTCATCAAGGTTTCCAGAGTTTCTTTTGACGAACATATTTTATAATTCTAAGAATATTTTTAAAACTATCGGTCTTTAAATAGAATAATTTTGCAAAGACATCTTAATATGTACATTCCAATTGATCTTTTAAATTGCAAACGTGTCCTGTATGTTTTGTGTTATGAAAAGTTGTTATTAATTAACAGAGAAGTAGTTTTTTTCATATTTACCATGTATTGTGAATATTTAACTGTACTTCTAGATGCCATTATTAAGGAATTGATGTTTTTATGTTACTTACTTTAGCGAACGAACACAGAAGATCGATCACCAGATCAACTAGGTCATGTTCAGAATCAAGTCGATGAGTTAAAGGGAATTATGGTGAGAAATATCGGTATGTAGATTTCAGTCGGCTCTGGTGTATTGTGATTAAGAGATTTAAAACTTATATAAAAAAAACTATAGCTTGAATTTATTGGGACCAAGTAATAGTCTGTAATGAAATAAGATGGGTTGTAACTTTTAACGTCCTTCCCAAGTAATCCGACGTGTGTGCTGTAGATCATAAGATCATTCAGTCATTGTAGTGGCGTCTTCCTTAACTCGTGGGTCTCTGATTCCACCAACTTTGCACAATCAAATTACGAAAATGAAAAATACTATGTGTCATGAAAGATTGAGTGAATATTAAATTTTGCTCTTGGCTGGATATATCCAATATAAATTAAAGATCAGTGACTCTAAAGAAAGTAGCCCACGAGATTGTACAGGTGACACTACTCCTTGTCACATACAGCGGGGAAACGAAACCCAACCAGTTTACTCAATAACAGACCTTATGATACAGCGCGCACATGCTAACCAATCAGCCATTCCCCTCATCCCGCACTTGAGAAATATATGTGTGAGAATCAAGTTGATCAAAACAACCTCTTTTATTTGCACATTATTTGAACCTATATTTTTATTTTCACAGATCAAATAGCAGACAGAGGAGAACGATTAGAATTACTGGTCGATAAAACAGATGATCTCAGTGCTAATGTAAGTCTTGTACTGCCAGTCTCTTTTAGTCTAAGCCTTCTGATTTTAAATAAAACCTTTAAACATGTATTATCAAACTTAAATGTCATTCCGCAGACTATTGATGGTTGCTAATTCTCTATTCTCATGTAATAAAAGTGATTAATATTCACAAGGTCATTGCTCTGGCTTCAAGGATCTTTGGCTGGACTGTGTTTGAAATAGCTTTATTTAACTTCTGTTTCCACTTCATAGATATTGCCGACAAGAATGGTGTTTTGAGTTTTTATACACCATCATTTCATGGGGAATATATTTTAACATCCTGCTTGTTGGTCCATCCATCCATTCATACCCTGCACATTACAGGTCTCAAGTTTTTCAGACTAAAGAGGAAGCTACCCTTCAAAAAGCTGCTCTTGAATGTATGTTTGTGCCTTGCTACATTATGTTTGATTAAGCTTGTAGCAATCGACATGTATATCTATTCAGAGATCAACTTAATTGACTTCTCTGATGCAGTGCAAACATTTGAGTCTTGTCGCAGTTGGAACTATTGATATGTACCATAAAATGAAATCGAAAAGTAAATGAAATGTAATTGACCGTTACATAATTTTTGGAATGTACATGTAATTCATTACATCTCCATTACATAACCTTTACTTGAAGATACATTATGGGAGATTAGATAAAGAGCTGGCAGTTCTCACTATAATAGTTAAAACTAGATAATGTAAAGGCAATTTGCTGAAAGTTTCACTCATATTGATCCACTATGAACCGAGAATTAAGCCATTGTAATTTCGGCCTAGCATCGATCATCATTACTAAAGTCGGTACGATAAAAACATAGTCTCAATTATCCATTTCATGATTAAATCATGAACGAAAGCTGAGCAGCAAATCGGATCATAATCCAATAAAGATTGCAGGCTAGCGTTGACAGTTGATCATGGTCTTGATAAGTTAATTAATGTCTAATTAATAATTTAGATAACATTTCGGGCCTAAAGAAAGACCTACAATAGGCAGATTTAGCTCTTGCATAATGTATATTTAAAAAATGTAATGATTAAATTCCATGACCATTCGCCCAGCCCTGCTTGTAGGAATGTAACATGAAGAATGTTTATTATAGAAGTATTGTTATATTTTCAGGCTGTTTCGTTTAAAAAGACAAGTAGAGCCTTAGCAAGATCGTTATGGTGGAAAAATATTAAAATTACAATCATTATTGTTATTGTTGTTATTGTAAGTCCATCTTTATTTTATATTATTAACTTGACAATTACATTAATTAACGGGGTGGTTGGATGCCAGTATGGTTAGTGCATGTGCGTTGAATCATAAGGTCTGTCATTGAGTCAGCTGGCGTGATTTCGATTCCCCAGTTGTGCGTGACAAGGAGTAGGAGTTAAACCCCATCTCTCTCTCTCTCTCTCTCTCTCTCTCTCTCACATTAATTAACATACTGACTTAAATGGGTTCAAACACACATGGTATGGCCACAGCAATGCTGGAGAATAGTCCGGTTGCAACGAGGCGGTGGTAGAACGAGGGTATACCCAGGACAAAGTGTCACTATGCGTTTCTCTTTTTATATTATGTATTTGTTTGTTTCAGGTTATTCTGTATTTTATCATCTCTGCTGCGTGTGGTGGATTAGATTGGCCGTGTACTCGTAAATAAAGTGATGTCGGAGACATGTGATTAAAATATAACGGACAGATTATTATGAAGAGTGCTTTCACATAAATACCAGTTGGTTACTTCTCAACAGACTGTTACTTAGCAACAGGCTGTTCATTACTTTAAAACCAACTGTTTGTTATCACCGTGTTGGAAGAATATGTCGAACTACTATGTGATTTATTATCATCTAGCTTTATAAATATATGTTAAAACCCTTTATTTTTATGTTGATATTATGTATTGTGTAGTGTATAGTTCAATAATATGAAACATGAAATTTTTGTAAATCCGACTTAATTTTGGTTTGATTAAGTTAAATTATATCATTATTAACCCTATCTGTGTTCTAAACACTATCTTTTGAACCAAATATTTAATTGTTCTTAAAATCTGCATGATGCATTTATGTTTTTGAAAGTTTAAGGCTAAGGCATGTGAGATATATTATGTATTGTATAATGTGTAGATTTAGACCCCCACTGTATACTGTAAGAGTATATCTGACAATTCAAAAAAGTAATTGAATGTCATTAGATAAGAGAACACGAGAAAAATAGAAACAGTCCGTACATTCACAGGTGTTTATTCATTCTATACTTATAAAAACATGGTAATGCACAGACTTTTTCTGTTTTTCTTTCATGTTCTCTTATCTAGTGACAGTCAATTTTGTTTATGAATTGTCAGATATCCTTTCACAGTTCCATACAACAACTTTTGGTCTTCGAAGGAATTATTAGTGAGCAGAAATTCGCCGATGTATCTGTTATCACCCGTCACTTCAGCCAGTTTTATAGAGGGATAACTCATGTTTTCCTTTTGCCTTCGTCATTTCCTATTGTTGAAACATTGATTACTCATCTATCGTAGCAATGTTCTCTGTGAAAAAATGATATTTGGAACGTGTTTAACCAGTTCTATCACATATGTGATAATGACTGGCACCAATATTGTCCTTTAACTTCCATCACTTACTATCTACAGGACTATGTGTATAAGTGGTGACTTAATAATTTCATGTAAAATTTACCTACCTGTAATATATGGTTGGGGTTATTCCATCATTTCTGGCATTCTATAATCTAATTATGTCAGAGGTCAGAAGTTTTTGTGCTATATTAGATTTATTACATGGATACATGTGTATGTGGTGTAAATTGATTACATTGATATAGGTGTATGTATTGTATATCGTGACATTGTAAATGAATTATGTTGATACATGTGCATGTAGTGTAAATTAATGACATTGACACACATGTATGATGTGCAAATTGATTACATGTAGGTGGTATTATGTAAGTTAATTACATTGATACACATGTAGATGGTGTTTTTGTCAATTGATTACATTGATACACATGTAGATGGTGTCATTGTCAATTGATTACATTGATACACATGTAGATGGTGTCATTGTCAATTGATTACATTGATACACATGTAGATGGTGTCATTGTCAATTGATTACATTGATACACATGTAGATGGTGTTTTTGTCAATTGATTACATTGATACATGTGTAGATGGTGTCATTGTCAATTGATTACATTGATACACATGTAGATGGTGTCATTGTCAATTGATTACATTGATACACATGTAGGTGGTGTTATTGTCAATTGATTACATTGATACACGTGTAGGTGGTGTTATTGTCAATTTAAATAAGAAATTTGACTGTGTATATATGATGAGAAAACAACCAGTGTTTCTGTCTTGTTTCATAGATTTTGTTAAAATGTTTATATTGATGTGTATATTAGAATTATTTGAAATTGTTTTTATTATAAATTAAACAAATAGAATTAGTTCCATGTGTTTATATCAATTGTAAATATTGTTTTATATCTATAACACACACATAAATATATTATATATATTATATATATACATACTTGATACTAGGTGTAACTTATCTAATTCACAAAATGGTAAACTTGACTATTTTAAGAGAGCAGTCTTTTCATTGGCTAAGAGTTAATATTTGTACTAGTATTTTAATCTTCAACTAATGAAATATGTGCTTCATTTTAGTTTAGAGATTCATGAATACTGTGGACCCTGTATTAATTATGCACTATAATCTGCTCGGCAAATACAGATCATTTATCATCAGCTTCATACTGTATTATTGTGTAATTATTATTGTATTATTATCCTTTCTTATTGCCTTTTCCAGCCTTTTGAAAGTATAGGGTTAATGCCTGTGTTATATAATATGTATTATATAATGTGTAGATTTTGAAAGTATAGGGTTAGTGCATGTGTTATATAATATGTGTTATATAATATGTAGATTTTGAAAGTATAGAGTTAGTGCATGTTTTATATAATATGTATTATATAATGTCTAGATTTGGAATGTAGAGAAAACTCGTTTTAATCCCAATCCTACATTAATGGAGAACATATTCTTTTAAAGAACTTAGTACCCAGTAAGCACCTTATAGGAAGTGCAGAGGGTGTACAAGCTGAAATATGTTGGATCTATGCTAATGTTCATTCAGTTAAAAAAATCTGGATATTTTATTGAACGATCATCATCAAGTAATGTACCGTTAAAGTTTGGCCTATTTTGTGGGTTGGGGGGGGGGGGGAACACTCAATATTTTAGAAGAATTATTTAATAATTATTTGTTTTTATCATTGGGGATCGTCAGTAATTAGCTTGTAGTATGATTTAAGTAAAGTAAAAATGTGCTAATCATCCCTGGGCCCTATTAATGAAAACTTCATCTAAAATATTTTAAGAATATTGATTGTTTATTGGTTGAGCGTGGATGGCCGAATGGTTAGCACATGCGCGCTGTATCATAGGGTTTGTCAATGAGTCAACTGGCGTGGTTTTGATTCCCCGGATGTAAGTGACAAGGTGTTGGGTCGCCTGTCCAACCTCGTGGGTTTTCTCTGGGTCCTCTGGTTTCCTCCCATTGCTAAAGACCCGTACGCACAAGCAAATTGTTGAAATAAAATTGAACAATATGTTAGTCCCGAAATGACCTGGTTTTGTTTAGAGTGGACATTAAACTCCCGATATGACCTAGTTTGTGGAGGTTACCCCCCCCCCTCTCTCTCTCTTTCTTTTATTGGCTGAGCACTAAATTCATAGCTTAATGAAGAGGCAGCATTCTTAAAATCTTTTAGTAAAAAGGTTTCTTGAATAAGGATCCAGATATACAGGTAGGGTTGAATGTTAGAATCATATGCAAGTATGTGCATTTAGAGGCTAAATATAATTAAAGTTGAAGGTTTCTTAAATAAGTATCCAGAAATACAGGTAGGTTGAATATTAGAATCATATACGAGTATTGCATTTAGCGGCTAAATATAATTAAAATTTTTAGAATATATTGCCTATATATGGATATATGTATGGATATATTGCGTATATTAGTATAATCATATTGGAATTATTTATGAGGCAAACGGCTTCAGTGACTCAGATAAATGTTTATGTAAATATATATTTATTGAAATAAAATCTTCAAAGATCAAGTTATCCGTCTACTTGTCCCATTGTCCCTATCAGAACTCGCCACTTGTTGTATACAAGGAAAACTAATACTCCTGATATCCATCCATAATTTTCCTAGCAACAACATCTCTGGACATTAAGTTATCAAAGATGTATAGGCGAAGGTTTCGGAAGCTTCTACAACATGTTTGCATTATTCATAAACCTAAGGTTATTTATAACGGAAGGTTTTATAGTTAACTTCGGGAGTTCTTCGTTGTCCCTTTAACCGTAAAATATGTAAGCATTATTTATGGCCCGATATTCCAGAATAAAAGTTAAATATCATCTCAAGAACTTGTATCAAACACGTAGGAGCGTATTATACGTCCGCTGCCATTTCGGAATTGTTACGTCGCATCAAAAGTCATATGAATGGGCAATTGTTCAAGGAACGAGTATGCCAAGTTTCATGTCCATCCTACCGTTCTAAGAGCGTCGCCCCCAAGAAGAAGTAGAACAACAAGATGAGGACCGCTTTGAGAGCAGTTCCTGATCATTCAAATCAATCAGTTCTAACTGCAGTTATGGCTATCTCAAGTTTACATTGATTTAAAATTTGTATTGATTTCTCATCGCTTCTTCATGTCTCTCGGACAAATAACATGATATTCGATCTAGCATTCGGCCTGTTTTGGTTAATTGGCGATTTAACGTCCGCTGCCACTGTGAGGGGTATCGCAGATAAGCCCTTTTATCACTCAATAATCCATTCTACAGTATAGATATCGCTTGTGTGATATATTTCATAATCTACTAAGGAGATATCGCTTTACATGAATTTGATTGGTCAGTTGAAAAGGAATTACTTTTTTTTATTTTCAAATAACAGTTCATTTCTTATTAAAAGTAATTTTTTTTTATTAAAAATGAACTATTGTTATTCAATTGACCTTGATGAAAACACTGGGTCAATATAAAGGACTTTGCAATGGTTGAATTGCTGTCAAAAAATGATGTATCACTACGCCGTAATGTTCAGTAAAAGTGAAATCATGGACCTTATAAGGTCCATTGTGAAATCTACAGCAAAGAATTATATTTATCTATTTGTGCATGTAAGAAGGGATTGGGTGATAAATAAAATCTCCTACTCGTCTATTTTGATATCCAAAAATATCAACACTCGTTTTGAATTTTTGCGCTCCCTTGAGTTTTTGTGCCCCTCGCAAATGGCAAAAAAATCACGCAGTATCAGTGCGGTTTATAACATTATAATCATAATCATAATGGTTAACCAGTGTCAAACATATACCGTGGGTCAGATATGCTACAAATCGACTCTAGCACGTTCCACACAGCCCAATATTACCAGTTGGGACTGGGAGCCCCCCCCCCCCCACACACACACACACACCCACACACATATATATATAAATATTGTTTTGGGGGGCCCGGACGGGATCTTGTTCATCATACAAACTCATGGGTCACCACGCCCCTGACATTAAGACAATTATATTTTACTTTCGCAACATGTGTGGAACATCTTACCTATAAGCAAAAAAAAAAAAAAAAAAAAAAAATGTAATGATGCCTTCAGATAAACGTTTGATCTTTTTATTTTTCGAACTTCATAACAGCTTCATAATTATTGGCCTTCAACTGATACACGAGTGTTTGCCATGACACCCCTGGGGTAGGTCGCTACAGTATAAAGATATTTTATCATTAAAACATCACGGGTTAATGAGACGAATAAAAGATAATCGTTTTCATCTTCTCATTTACCTAATCAAGCACATTTAAAGATAAACATCCATTAGCACAGAGATTAGTGTATTGCTGTACGCTTGGCATTTCACATGCAAACATTGGAAGGGAGTAGAAGATCCATGTGTTAAATTTATTACAATGTAAACTGCCCAATAATAGATTAGTCACTTAAAAATAAGTTTGAATACGATATTATATAGCTTTGAATTCTGATATACACACTGACGCGTGAAAAAAAACCCCACCAAAAAATACATTTTAAGATTACATTATTACATACAGGGCCGGATAAAGCATGCATAGATTTATATGGCACAAACATTTACATGTTTCATCTGACATACATTGCAACTGTTTTCATTAGCCAACCCGGGGCAGAAAAGTAGGAAGGTAAACCCCATTTCTTTTCATTTTATGTTGCGAATTCTTTTATAGAACTAATTTGAGCGACCGATTGATATTGGGGTCCCTGGCTGTAACCCTGTACCCATTTACTCCGACCCTGAGTATATACTGCATGTAACATAAATGGTATGCCGTGAGTCTATGCGAAAATTTCATGAGGGAGGGGGGGTAATCGGGTTTAAAGTCCACTCGACACAAATTGGGTGATTTCAGATTTAACATGGTTCAATTTTATATCAATAATTCGGTTACACGCGTAGGGCTCTTTAGTTGTGGGGGAGGACCAGGGGATAACCCACGATGTTGTACAGGCGACCTTACACCTTGTCGCGTACCACGAATCGACTTTATGATCCAATACGCACGCCTAAATAATACATTCGGCCGTCCACAACCCCCAGATTCGGTTTATGGAGTAATAATACTAAAAAGTGGTTATGGTGACGGGGCTCACTCCTTGGGATATATTTAAAAAATAACGAACGTAACTGTTCACACTTCTTAACCTTTAATTTCCCCTTTAAACAATCCTAATTTTATGCTTTCAAACTTTGTGATTTTATTTAGAAATGACCAGAGATTGCGTAATTAATCACGATATCATTACTCGAGATACTGGGTTTAAAAATTTAAGATTCTATCTTGTTTTTATGATAGCCATTGGCTAAACGGTTTATATCAAGTAACCCAGGTTAATCGAGATTCAACTTCAAATACATTTAATACTTTGAGAAGGTAAGACTGTAATATAAGAATGAACTGTTTCTATGTGTCATATTTCAAATTTTAATTTATATTTGGGTGTAGATGCATGGTATAATAGTGTAGTATAATAGCTGTTACCATAAACATATTGTTGATGTTTGGATTTTAAACTTTGTGCCTCTAAAACCGTTTTAATGTATATAGGTTTTTATTAACAGGATTCTAACATTATTTCCATAGTATATTTCTGTATCAGGATTTTATTGCTTTTTAAATATTTTAATGATTTTGCAATTCTTTATATTGTTTCAAGATTTTTCCATTTTTCATTTGAGAACTGTTTAAATAATGTTCCTTATTTCATTATTTATTTGTGATTTTTAATTAATTTTTTTTCAACTTTGCCCTTTTTAAACTATTAACTAGGATACCCTTTCTCTGTTTTTATTTTAATTTTACGGAAGTTTGTTATTTTAATGATTTTGTATTTTCTGATAGCTTTTTAATATAAAAGTGTGTAACTGCGGTCATGTCTTGGGTAACCGAGATATGGAACGTCCTGTTTCTTACAGGATTTATATTATCATATCATGGCGGACAAGCTCAAGGTAAGTCATTCTGCTGGACTTTTTAAAATAAAATAAATAAATAAATAATAGGTTTGCAATATTTTGCTAGCCATTTTATTTTATATCGGTTACCAGAAAATTGCTCCAATACAACCGACAACACTTATACTGGGGCCACTTTTTTTAAATTACATCGGGTCTTTGCCACCCTTTAACATTTTTATTAAAGATCTCTAATATTATAGCAAGAGTAATATAAATGATATTGTCACAAGAACCGAGATCGTGCACGCAAAAGAACCATTGACAGTTGAAATTTGACGAAGAGTGGACGGAAACACTTTTAGTAGAAGAATACTTCCACAACAGCACACTGCATGACATTATCCCGTCTTCATTAGCCCGGTTTGTGCTGAATAGCAAGACACTAAACCCCATTTCATTTCACTTAAGCATACAAAATACATAAAAAATAGATAATAATAATACTGCGACAAGGGACTAAAATCATAAATTTAAAACCTACTCATTTAATAATTGTTAAATTATGAAATGAAATAAAGATGTGACTATTTAGCAATTACAAAATAAAGATCTGATTTTACGAAAGTCTCACTACCACTAACGATATTTAACACGTCCATGGTCCAAGGTGGAGACAATGTCAAGTTTTGCTTGAGATTACCCAAGAATTTGATCTGAGAAAGTATTTATTCTCATTTAGGTGCGTACATTTTAGGATTACAGTTGAGTTAGGCCAAAGGTGCGCGGAAATAAAGTCACAGGAAAAAAAATCACAGTAAAAAAGTCACAAATTTGCCTAGGTAAAAAAAACCACAGGAAAAAAAGTCACAGTTTTTTTATTACATCTCAAATTCAATAACAATAAAAACAATAACATACATATTTAACCTTTCATTACACATATGTTCATTACACAGATGTAACCAGAGTGTTTTAGTCTTTAGAAATCGGCACATTTTGATATCATAGCACATTTGACTATTAGTACATATGGCATATCAGCACGTCTGACATTTTAATACATTATAGCACATTTGACATATCAGTACATCAGACATTTTAGCACATTCTAGCTCATTCACCATTCTAGCACAAATAACTTAAAAGATCAAAGATATACTCACTCTACAATAAAATATATATAAGTTGTGACTTTTTTACCTGTGTTTTTTTTTTACTGTGTTTTTTTTTTACTGTGACTTTTTTCCTAGATTCCGGCCAAATGGCGGCAATGCGTCGTACGTTGTTTGAACGACGTCATTTCGATGAATGCAAGAGAAAACAAAATCTGCTCGAGATGGGCAGTGCCTGTTAATGTATTTTTATATAAGTATGTAATGACAAAAATCATTTAGTAAATGGTTAATTGTAAAATGAATTAAGACTATGACTCACAGAAATTGAACTTAAAAGACTTTTGACTAAAGTATTACCCACCGACATTTAACACATTTTCTTTGTCTTTTTAATACTTTTTAAAGTAGTTTTTAACACATAGATTAATTATACTTTTATTCACAGTTTGTAGTTCGATTGATATCAGTAGTGACATAGTTCTCCTATTTGACGATTCGGAAAGTACAATGTTCATCGTCGACGATGCTAAAGTTTATTCACCTAAACTCGTAGAATTCTTGCAAGCTGCCAGCGCCAGTCTTACATCAGTAGGTCACAGAGTCAGTTTGGTTTCGTTTAGTTCAACTAGCCAAATTGTGAATGATTTTACTACCGATGCCACAGTTTTATCAACAGTTATTACCAACTTTCAGCCATCGTATAGTGGTTCAGCTCTTCAACTAGGTAGGCCTTTTGATATTGTTTCCCTTTTTTGTTACTTTGTTTACATCACTTGGGTTGATGTATGCGTTTGTTGTTTATTGTTTGAAATGTGCTGTCCGCGTGTTTGGCTTGTGTAATTGCTTATGTACGGTACGGTCCTCCTACACTTACTATTATAATATTAAAGTGGGCGGGGTGGGGTTGGGCGGCGCTGTTAATCAGATGTCACAATCTATGCAAACATAGTCAACCTCTACGTTTGTGAAAGTTCAATTGGCATCATATATTCAGGGCGGTAGGCCACCCCATCCTATCCCCGTCACACCTTTTTTTTACTATTTTCTGTCTATATCACAGAACAGAAATTGACGTTTAAAATACAAGACCATTTAATAGCCGACTGGTATTGACACATTTTAGTACATATTAATTCGAGGAAACTCGAAATTATTTTATATTACTTTATCATTTATTACTTACAATGTCTGGGTGGTGTGGATTTGTCTTCTAGATTTGTTTGTTTAAGGGTGACACTGTGCTCCTTCATTTAGTATTAGCCCCGCATAATGTTGAAGGTTCTACGTTTGTGTCGCCTACTACTGTAAAGATATATCCGAAATGACCCAGTTGTCTGGAATGTATGTTAGCCCCCCCCCTCCCTCGAATTGTGTTCAAGGGACTCAAAATTTCCCATTCAACCAATTTTGTTTCGTTAATGTTTTATTTTCGACACGAATCGGGACTAAAGAATTAATAATGCTCTATTTTCTACAGGATTGGAGACAAGTTACCAGTTATTTCAAACAGGAGGGCTATCCACATCATCTAAAATGATTATTATAGTAACTGATGGTGTATCATCTGACTCTGCCACGAGCGTATCATTGGCCCAGTCCTATACATCAGAGGGTATAGCTATCTTAGCTGTCGCGTACATCCTATCAGCAACGGATGAACTATCTTCAATGGTCAGCGACTCATCAATTGGACTTTTCTCACTCCAAGAAACAACAGATACCACCACCCTGACAAGTGACTTATGTCAATGTAAGTATTTATACCTCCTGATATATTGTCAAAATTAAACTTCCTATTCTTCTGGACCAATAGGGCTAATGAAGAAGGACAGATGTTTTTCATTTCTTTCTGTTTCAAATTCCGTATTTTTTTTATTTCACCGGTCTTGATTTAACATCTGAAAAGTTGTATCATTATAAACTACTGAAAGAAAAATTACTAACTTATTACTTAGTGTAACGTTTTCGAAGCGTATTCGATTAACGTTTTCAAGCAAGGGTAGTAACATGTCATGTATAGCGTAAATCTATAGATAAACAATAGTAACAAATCAGAAACAATGTATGACCATAACAGGATCAAAGAAGCCAAGACGAGTTCACTTGAGGCGAAGAGCGTATGTCTTTGGGGTGATTTTGTTGTATTTGCAGGCATGCAATAACAAGACCCAGGACCGCAACTAGTTCAGAGCAACAAGGGGGGGGGGGCGGGAAGTGTTCTCAGGGGGGCTGTAATATTGATGGACAATGTATATCTATTTTTTATGGTCGAAAATTTTTTCACAGGGGGTGCAAAGCCCCCCCCCCCCCCTAGTTACGGGCCTGACAAGACCTCTAAACGATCATTAGGTATGGAAGCGTATAGGGGTCAATAGCTTTGTAGATATCGCGATATTAATAAGGTAATATGTCATCAAATTGTGATTATTGCGAGTTAATTCAATTGACAGGTTATGTTGTAAATCGTCATTTCCTTTTAGTTAATGCATTGACATTGTGAAGCTTTGTGAACATAATTAAATTCATTTTACAGTTATATTTTGACATATTCGCAAAATATTGCCAAGTGCTATGTCGAAATATACTCTTCAAAAAAAGTAGGTGATATTGAAATGCAAATACGTATGCAGGTTGTGATATGATAAATAGTCATGGACACTTGACATGCTTTGAGAGTGTTCACAAAAGAAGAACTTATCGCCCCAACAGAACCACTGAGCTGCATGTGCGACACGCAATAGCGCCATACACGTGGGAGGAGTTCATTGTCAAATTTGAGACTTCAAGGAAGGGCTGATGAAAACTGCCGCATGCTGGTTTATCCTATCCTGTTTGCTTTCCTATCGATTCTTGCATAAGATTTACTGTTTACCGTGTCTTTGCTTTAGTGTACGTGTTACGTTTAATTTGATTGATATGGAGACATATTCGTCGATGTCAACGTCAACCGACAACACTGCAAGAATTGGCCGTGGCACTGCAAGAGGAGTGGGTCAGATTGCCCCAAATCGTGATTGGACGGTTGATTAGGAGCATGCCCCGACGAATTGCTGAATGTCTGAGGATTGGTGGAGCTATTTCTCATTATTAAGACAAAAATCAAAAACGTCCATTTTTACTTTTAACAGTGTATTTCTTTGCGAGTGAAATGGGGCTGTCAGATAAGCCGCCCATATGAACTGTTTATGTTCATGTGTAGGCAGTTGGGCTGTTATTAACATACACTGGTTACCTCTAATAAAAACAGCAGTGTATTTCCGCAGTTTTGTATTGTTTCTGAATATACCCTACTTTTTTGAAGAGTATATGTCGAAATGGAATTATTTTAGCGCAAACGAGTGCACGGACAACGAAATAACGATTTACTACTTTGCGCTTTGATTCAATTCACGTGGCAAAAAATTGCCTTTTCAGGGGTAAAATAGACGCAACAATCACATTTTGTTGACATATTACCTTACTAATATCGCGAAATCTATCACGCTATTGACCCCTATACGCCTCCAAAGTATTGATGTCGCGATATCTTCAATGATTATGTTGACCTTTAACCGTATTAATGTTGCGATATCTTCAATCATTATGTGATGTTTTACTGATTCGATATCACACTTGGTGGAAGGGGGCGTTAAACACCACGAACAACAATTCATATAAAAATAGCATCGCTAGATGGATGGGGTACGTGATTGCACAATGTGAACAACCACAGAGAATTGCCCTAGATATGACATAATAATACAATGTTGTTTCCATCACTGTCTGTTATAACTCACATTATCAGGAAAAATAATGTTTATATTTGATATAACACTTTGATATAACCATTGCATCTGTATAATTCAGCTGTCCAAACAAGTATATTATCAGCAACCAGCCCAATCACATCACCTACAACAAGCCCAACAATATCTCCTAATACCAGTCCAGCAACATCACCTACAACCAGTCCAACAACGTCTCCTACTACCAGCCCTACAACATCACCTACGACTAGTCCCACTACATCACCTACAACCAGTCCTACAACATCACCTACTACCAGCCCTACTACCAGTCCAACAGCATCCCCTACTACCAGTCCTACAACGTCTCCTGCTACCAGTCCAACAACATCACCTACAGCAAGTCCAACAACATCACCTACTACTAGTCCCACTTCATCACCTACAACCAGTCCTACAACATCCCCTACTAACAGTCCAACAACATCCCCTACTACCAGTCCAACAACATCACCTACAACTAGTCCAACAACATCTCCTACTACCAGCCCAACAACATCACCCACAACAAGCCCAACAACGTCTCCTACTACCAGTCCAACTACATCACCTACAACCAGTCCAACAACGTCTCCTACTACCAGTCCAACAACATCACCTACAATATCGCCTACTACTAGTCCGATTACATCACCTACAACCAGTCCTACAACATCACCTACTACCAGCCCTAATACCAGTCCAACGACATCACCTACAACCAGTCCAATAACATCACCTACAACAAGTCCAACAACGTCTCCTACTACCAGTCCATCAACATCCCCTACTACCAGTCCTACAACGTCACCTACTACCAGTCCAACAACATCACCCACGACCAGTCCAACTACATCACCTACAACCTCTCCTAATACAAGTCCAACTACATCACCAACTACTAGTCCAACAACATCACCTACAGCCAGTCCAACAACATCACCTACTACCAGTCCAACAACCTCACCTACAACCAGTCCTACAACATCACCGACAACCAGTCCGACAACGTCACCTACTACCAGTCCAACAACATCACCTACTACTAGTCCGACTACATCACCTACAACCAGTCCTACAACATCACCTGCTACCAGCCCAACAACATCCCCTACTACCAGTCCAACAACATCACCTACAACCAGTCCAACTACTAGTCCAACAACATCACCTACTACCAGTCCTACAACATCACCTACTACCAGTCCAACAACATCACCCACGACCAGTCCAACTACATCACCTACAACGTCTCCTACTACCAGTCCAACAACATCACCTACTACTAGTCCGACTACATCACCTACAACCAGTCCTACAACATCACCTACTACCAGTCCAACAACATCACCCACGACCAGTCCAACTACATCACCTACAACCTCTCCTACTACAAGTCCAACTACATCACCAACTACTAGTCCAACAACATCACCTACAGCCAGTCCAACAACATCACCTACTACCAGTCCAACAACCTCACCTACAACCAGTCCTACAACATCACCGACAACCAGTCCGACAACGTCACCTACTACCAGTCCAACAACATCACCTACTACTAGTCCGACTACATCACCTACAACCAGTCCTACAACATCACCTGCTACCAGCCCAACAACATCCCCTACTACCAGTCCAACAACATCACCTACAACTAGTCCAACAACATCTCCTACTACCAGCCCAACAACATCACCTACAACAAGCCCAACAACGTCTCTTACTACCAGTCCAACTACATCACCTACAACCAGTCCAACAACGTCTCCTACTACCAGTCCAACAACATCACCTACAATATCGCCTACTACTAGTCCGATTACATCACCTACAACCAGTCCTACAACATCACCTACTACCAGCCCTAATACCAGTCCAACGACATCACCTACAACCAGTCCAATAACATCACCTACAACAAGTCCAACAACGTCTCCTACTACCAGTCCATCAACATCCCCTACTACCAGTCCTACAACGTCACCTACTACCAGTCCAACAACATCACCCACGACCAGTCCAACTACATCACCTACAACCTCTCCTACTACAAGTCCAACTACATCACCAACTACTAGTCCAACAACATCACCTACAGCCAGTCCAACAACATCACCTACTACCAGTCCAACAACCTCACCTACAACCAGTCCTACAACATCACCGACAACCAGTCCGACAACGTCACCTACTACCAGTCCAACAACATCACCTACTACTAGTCCGACTACATCACCTACAACCAGTCCTACAACATCACCTGCTACCAGCCCAACAACATCCCCTACTACCAGTCCAACAACATCACCTACAACCAGTCCAACTACTAGTCCAACAACATCACCTACTACCAGTCCTACAACATCACCTACTACCAGTCCAACAACATCACCCACGACCAGTCCAACTACATCACCTACAACGTCTCCTACTACCAGTCCAACAACATCACCTACTACTAGTCCGACTACATCACCTACAACCAGTCCTACAACATCACCTACTACCAGTCCAACAACATCACCCACGACCAGTCCAACTACATCACCTACAACGTCTCCTACTACCAGTCCAACAACATCACCTACTACTAGTCCGACTACATCACCTACAACCAGTCCTACAACATCACCTACTACCAGTCCAACAACATCACCCACGACCAGTCCAACTACATCACCTACAACCTCTCCTACTACAAGTCCAACTACATCACCAACTACTAGTCCAACAACATCACCTACAGCCAGTCCAACAACATCACCTGCTACCAGCCCAACAACATCCCCTACTACCAGTCCAACAACATCACCTACAACCAGTCCAACTACTAGTCCAACAACATCACCTACTACCAGTCCTACAACATCACCTACTACCAGTCCAACAACATCACCCACGACCAGTCCAACTACATCACCTACAACCTCACCTACTACTAGTCCAACAACATCCCCTACTACCAGCCCAACAACATCACCTACAACAAGTCCAACAACGTCTCCTACTACCAGTCCAACCACATCACCTACAACCAGTCCAACAACGTCTCCTACTACCAGCCCAACAACATCACCTACAACATCACCTACTACTAGTCCGACTACATCACCTGCAACCAGTCCTACAACATCACCTACTACATCACCTACAACCAGTCCAACAACATCACCTACAACCAGTCCAACAACGTCTCCTACTACCAGTCCAACAACATCACCTACAACCAGTCCTACAACATCACCAACTACCAGTCCAACAACATCACCTACAACCAGTCCAACAACGTCTCCTACTACCAGTCCAACAACATCACCTACAACATCACCTACTACTAGTCCGACTACATCACCTGCAACCAGTCCTACAACATCACCTACTACATCACCTACAACCAGTCCAACAACATCACCTACAACCAGTCCAACAACGTCTCCTACTACCAGTCCAACAACATCACCTACAACCAGTCCTACAACATCACCAACTACCAGTCCAACAACATCACCTACAACCAGTCCAACAACGTCTCCTACTACCAGTCCAACAACATCACCTACAACATCACCTACTACTAGTCCGACTACATCACCTACAACCAGTCCTACAACATCACCTACTACATCACCTACAACCAGTCCAACAACATCCCCTACTACCAGTCCAACAACATCACCTACTACCAGTCCAACTACATCACCTACAACCAGTCCAACAACATCACCTACAACAAGTCCAACAACGTCTCCTACTACCAGTCCATCAACATCTCCTACTACCAGTCCTACAACCTCACCTACTACCAGTCCACCAACATCACCCACGACCAGTCCTACTACATCACCTACAACCAGTCCAACAACATCACCTACAACAAGTCCAACAACGTCTCCTACTACCAGTCCAACAACATCACCTACTACCAGTCCAACGACATCACGTACAACCAGTCCAATTACATCACCTACAACAAGTCCAACAACGTCTCCTACTACCAGTCCATCAACATCCCCTACTACCAGTCCTACAACGTCACCTACTACCAGTCCAACAACATCACCCACGACCAGTCCAACTACATCACCTACAACCTCTCCTACTACAAGTCCAACTACATCACCAACTACTAGTCCAACAACATCACCTACAGCCAGTCCAACAACATCACCTACTACCAGTCCAACAACCTCACCTACAACCAGTCCTACAACATCACCGACAACCAGTCCGACAACGTCACCTACTACCAGTCCAACAACATCACCTACTACTAGTCCGACTACATCACCAACTACCAGTCCAACAACATCACCTACAACCAGTCCAACAACGTCTCCTACTACCAGTCCAACAACATCACCTACAACCAGCCCAACTACTAGTCCAACAACATCACCTACTACCAGTCCTACAACATCACCTACTACCAGTCCAACAACATCACCCACGACCAGTCCAACTACATCACCTACAACCTCACCTACTACTAGTCCAACAACATCCCCTACTACCAGCCCAACAACATCACCTACAACAAGTCCAACAACGTCTCCTACTACCAGTCCAACCACATCACCTACAACCAGTCCATCAACGTCTCCTACTGCTAGTCCAACAACATCACCTACAACATCGCCTACTACTAGTCCGATTACATCACCTACAATCAGTCCTACAACATCACCTACTACCAGCCCTAATACCAGTCCAACAACATCTCCTACAACCAGTCCTACAACATCACCAACTACAAGTCCAACAACATCACCTACAACCAGTCCAACAACGTCTCCTACTACCAGCCCAACAACATCACCAACTACTAGTCCAACAACATCACCTACAGCCAGTCCAACAACATCACCTACAACCAGTCCAACAACGTCTCCTACTACCAGTCCAACAACATCACCTACAACCAGTCCTACAACATCACCAACTACCAGTCCAACAACATCACCTACAACCAGCCCAACAACGTCTCCTACTACCAGTCCAACAACATCACCTACTACTAGTCCGACTACATCACCTGCAACAAGTCCTACAACATCACCTACTACATCACCTACAACCAGTCCAACAATATCACCTACAACCAGTCCAACAACGTCTCCTACTACCAGTCCAACAACATCACCTACAACCAGTCCTACAACATCACCAACTACCAGTCCAACAACATCACCTACAACCAGTCCAACAACGTCTCCTACTACCAGTCCAACAACATCACCTACTACTAGTCCGACTACATCACCTACAACCAGTCCTACAACATCACCTACTACATCACCTACAACCAGTCCAACAACATCACCTACAACCAGTCCAACAACATCCCCTACTACCAGTCCAACAACATCACCTACCACCAGTCCTACTACATCACCTTCAACCAGTCCAACAACATCCCCTACAACCAGTCCAACAACATCACCTACAACCAGTCCAACAACATCACCTACTACCAGTCCCACTACATCACCTACTACCAGTCCAACAACATCCCCTACAACCAGTCCAACAACATCCCCTACTACCAGTCCATCGACATCACCTATCGCCAGTCCTACTACATCACCTACAACCAGTCCTACTACATCACCCATTACCAGTCCAACAACATCACCTACAACCAGCCCGACTACATCACCTACTACCAGTCCAACAACGTCACCTACAACCAGTCCAACAACATCTCCTACTACCAGTCCTACAACATCACCTACTACTAGTCCAACAACATCCCCTACCACCAGTCCTATTACATCACCTGCAACCAGTCCTACAACATCACCTACTACTAGTCCCACTACATCACCTACAACCAGTCCTACAACATCACCTACTACCAGCCCAACTACCAGTCCAACAACATCACCTACTACCAGTCCTACAACGTCACCTACTGCCAGTCCAACAACATCCCCTACAACCAGTCCAACAACTTCACCTACAACTAGTCCAACAACGTCTCCTACTACCAGTCCATCAACATCCCCTACTACCAGTCCTACAACTTCACCTACAACTAGTCCAACAACGTCTCCTACTACCAGTCCAACAACATCACCTACAACCAGTCCAACAACCTCTCCTACTACCAGTCCTACAACATCACCAACAACATCACCTACTACTAGTCCCACTACATCACCTACAACCAGTCCTACAACATCACCTACTACCAGCCCTACTACCAGTCCAACGACATCCCCTACTACCAGTCCTACAACGTCACCTACTACCAGTCCTACTACTTCACCTACTACTAGTCCAACAACATCACCTACAACCAGCCCAACCACGTCACCTACTACCAGTCCTACAACATCTTCCTTTATTGGTGAAAGTGGGTTTGCAGACAGTATCGTCGCCATACAATTGAATTTTGAGGAAATATCACGTCTTTGTAATACAGATAACTGCAGTTACATAAACGGTATCGGCTACAATTACCATCCCTATGATTCGAGTTTATTTGTTCAATGCATATTGTCCGATAATAATACTTTTACTGGTTTTGCAAAGCAATGTGCCTTTGGGACGATTTGGAATCGTAATATTGGAGTATGTGATTCACCTTTTGCTATAAATCAAAGTGAGTGTATTTTTTTTATATTGTTAAATTGATATTTTATATTCATTGATATTGTCTGTTTGTTGTTTGTCTGTTTGTCTGTCATTTCATGGTTAGCGACTACACTAGGGTTTTCCCGAGGCTGAAATTTGGTGTAAAAAAGTAGCTCGGATCAGTAACATGTGCTAGGTGGTGTTGGCCTACCACTTCCGGTTTCAGATTTATAGAAACAACCCGTGCAGTTCCGGGTCTTGCGGTAGTATAATATATTCATTGAAATTGTATCTAAACCAACCGCCCTGTTTCAGCCTAATATAAAAACAATCGTTCATCTGACTTTTGGGGATCTTTTTGACACTATAGTATCATGTACGAACTTTTACCTGAATTAGCAATTTCTGCCATTTTTTATCTTTTGACAATAGCCTTTTGTAATCTTTATTGTGTTTTATAATCATGGTTAATTTGAAACTGTTTAACGTCATATACTTTTTTCCTTATAGATGCATGTTCCAACGAAACTGATGGTGTTCAATTGTCTTATTTGATGCACTGTTCAGCGTATTGGCAATGCACTGCAGGGGCTTCGTTAGTAAAGTGTTGTTCATCTGGTCAGCTATTTAAGGCAGGTATTGGATGTGTTGCGGATACAAACAATGAGTGTGACTCGATATGTTCCCCCGACTGGCAGTTCGGGCTGCTTACTGAAGTCACAGGTGAGTCTTCCTCCCATCCCATTATATATATAGTTTTAAATTGACTTACAACTTAACCCAAGTCGTCTTATGAACTGATGTGTTTTATTTCTGATCCTTATATTCCTAAATGCTTGTCAACCGTATTATTAATAGAGCCCGGTTCTCGATGACAGCTGAACTGTCAGTTTGAATCAATCTATTGAACCCGCAACGTAATCTTAAGATTAATACAAACCACCCAAATGAAAAACGTCTTTATTCGCTTAAAATACTTTCCCGGAAATCCACGCCTTATTCCGACTGGTATTGTTATGAAGCTGACAAAAGAGTATTGTTACTTAAAGATACATTATGGGAGATTAGATAACGTGTTGGCAGTTCTCACTATGATAGTTAAAAATTTAATAATATAAAGCACCCGATTAGATTTTATTACATACTTCGAGAAGGTATTTGTTGAGTAATAAAACCTTCTAGTAGTTATTCGAGGGCTAGCCGTCCTTACTGCAATGTACAAATAAAACCTTCTAGTAGTTTATCGAGTGCTTCCGGTGTCCAAAATGGCCGCTTTATATAAATGAGAATTTTGGGGATAACTAACCCGAACCCTAACTCTAACCTTTTTAAAAAACTGAACTTTGGTCTAATTTAGTTTTTACTTCTCTTAAAAGGGTTAGGGTTAGGGTTCGGGTTAGTATTCCCCTAAATACTCATTTGTATAAAGCGGCCATTTTGGTATGAGTTCTGGCTTGTTCTGGAATTTGTTGCTTCTAGTGGTGATAATATTTGTACCGTGCGGTAAGGACGGCCAGCCCTCGATAAACAACTAAAAGGTTTTATTACTCAACAAATACCTTCTCTGAGTGCATAAAGGGATATGCTGAATATTTTAGTCAAATTATTTCAGTGGGAGTCGAGAAAATCCCATTTTAAAAACTTTTGAGCCCCGATTGTCATTTTTACCACTGTAGCGATAATAAAGAAACTCTTGATTATCCCTTTTGTGGTTAATCATCAATTAAACAGCAGATCGGATTCAAATCTAATGAAAATCGGACACATAAGATAAGACCGAGGGTTGATTTTGGTCTTGTCATGATAATAAATGTCTAGTTAATAGTTTATATAACATTTCCGACCCAAAGAAAGACCTGCAATAGGCAGATTTAGCTCTAGCATAATGTATATTTAACAATATGTAACAACCGCTTACAAATTGTACTGAGAAGAACGATCCATGCAGTACTGCTTGGTAGTGCCGTTGTGCTGTATACTTAAGGTTGCAGCTTATTCCAACACGAACGACGATAATTCAGATAAATAGTTAAACTTGTACCATGTCGAAAACTGGCTAATGATCAGAATAATGAGATAGGTATCGTTAGGGCGTGCCGATCACCTGCCTAAAGTTACAGAAGAATATAGAACATATATACAGGCTTAGGATTAAACTATAATAATATTTGATAATAGTAGTATAGCTCTGGTCAGGGGTTCTTCTGAAAACCATATGAGGTCAGATGCGGTGTAATGACTACAAAAAGTATTTCCAATTAATAATTGTATCACTACTTACGATTTTTCTATAGTGTTCCCGGTTTCTAATAATTGTATATCACTACTTACGATGTTCGTTTAACCGAATAACACATAGATACAATACATTACTTATATTTATTTAAACTTTCAATATTATAATTTGCAATCATATATGTTTTATTACCCAGAACACGGATGTACATTAACTAGTCAAGATTGTCCCGGCGGTACCGTGTATAATGTGGCAACTTGTTCCTGCACCCACACCACAGGTAAGGACATTTTCTCCACAACAACAGAGAGGAAGCTAGAGAATACAGTTTGGGTTGGCCTGGACTAAATGGTTGTTGATGCATCCCCAAGATTATATGACTTCGTACTGATAAATGTGATAAAGGGAATCTTCTGATATTCTCACTCAATGATAAAGACAAGAACGCACAAGCAAGTTATTGAAATAAAAATACAGTTTGTTAGTCAAAAGGCTCTCTCTCTCTCTCTCTCTCTCTCTCTCTCTCTCTCTCTCGCATACACATTTATCAGTCTGGTTGGTTAAACTCTTTATATCAACCTACCATATTGGTGTATAGTGTTTCTCATTCATGTTAATAATCAATCGGTTTATCTGTTACAGGAAAATTCTGTGTTCCAACTCTCAATCTCACATTTTCCGATCAACAAACCCAAGATCATTCCAAAAATAGATTCTACATTACACAAAGAAATGTCGCAGTTTCTAACGGAATTGTCAACTTTTTAGACGCTGGTAGTACTGTTAGTGTTCCCGGTACAGCCAATATGCCTATGGGATCAAATTTCTTTATTTCGGTGACTTTTAAGCTGCGGGATCATGCTCCAAGTTTACAAGCGGTGATGGGGAATAAACCCTGTCACGGTTTACAGGAACCCTCTGTTCTGGTAACGGTTATAGATGATGTTAATACCGATCTAATCAACGTCAACATGTTGCTTAAAACGGCAACATTTATTTCACAGAACAACGTTACATTTAGTGTTCAGGTAAGTTGCGTACCCTACTCAGTGAGCAGGCCGCTGGGCCCACGGGATTTGCCAGCGTGGTTCCATTTGTCAGTGGAGCAGGACACAGGCAACTGTAACGTGGAAAATCTCTTTCAATAATAATATTAAGCTTTGACTAAATAAAATGTTTAAAGTCTTATTATGTTCATGTTTGTGAGCGAGATTATCAGATTCAGGGCACACAACTCGTTCGGAACCAATTGTCTACGGTGGTAGCTATACAGTGGTGAGAAACATGCGGACTACAAGGACGGAGAATCTGGCAAGATAGGGGGAAACCCCGAGCTTCCGTGTACACGTTGACGTGCACGTAACAGAACCATTGACAGTTGGAATTCGACGTATGCATGTATTCATTACCCCGTTAAACCACATGAATGAATTATAATTTAAGACGCATAATGGATGTTATACGTAGTGGCGATGAAAGTACATTGGCATATCATTTTTTCAGAGAAACCAATGGTTAGAAGCTGCTATGCGATATGATGGTAAAATGGTGGTGGCTAGTTTATTTAACAACAATACGGTATTACATACTGCAAGTTGGTCAGCACAAGGTTAGTTCATGAAGTTCTATTATCATATATACGGAATTACATACTGTCAGTCCAAGGTTAGTTCTTGTACTAATTATCTTATTATACGGTATTACATTCTGCAAGTTTGTATGTCCAACGTTAGTTCTTGTACTAATTATCATATATACGGTATTACATTCTGCAAGTTGGTCGCCATAAGGTTAGTTCTTGTACTATATTATCATATATACGGTATTACATACTCCAAGTTGGTCAACACGAGGTTAGTTACATACTGCAATTGTACGGGTATTTCTTTCCGGTTTGGGGGGTTGGCTGGCCGATTTATCATAAGACCTGTCATTGACTCAACTGGAGTGGTTTCGACTCCCCGGTTGTACGTGACAAGGAGTAGGGTCGCCTGTCCAACCCCGTGGGTTTTCTCCGGGTCCTCCGGTTTACTCCTGCTTCTAAAGACCCCTACGCACAAGCGAATTATTGAAATAAAATTAAGCCATTGTGTTAGTCCCGAAATGACCTAGTTTCTGTCGAGTGGACGTTAAATCTCTCTCTCTCTCTCTCTCTCTCTCTCTCTGTATGTTGTTAATGTTAACTATGTATTTTTTGTAGGTGATATAGAAGTACGAAGAGCGTCTCTTGTTCTAGGAAATGGATATTGTGATGATTATAATAATTTTGATGGCAGCTATGATGAGGTTAGTTTGTAATCTTGTAAATTATATTTAGCAAAATTGCACAGACATTTTTGTTTCCAAAATATATTTATAACATTGTTTTGATCATAGGGATCAATAAATCGGCGAGACAAAATAAAGCATGGCTTTCACGTCTTATACGGGTTTCTGTAATAGTATTTAAACAAATTTAAATTAGTACTACCAGTACTGTCAAATTAAGACAATGGTGACTTACAGGGATCCGAATGGAGTTTAACGTCCTACTGTTCTGCTCCGAACTGGGCTAATGAATGGAATTTTTGCCTAGTTAGTGGCACTACGGCCTACTCATATATCGAATTCCAATTGTCGAGGGATCTGTTACGTGCACGCCAATGTGTACACATAACGTCGGTTTATCGTCTCATCCGAACGACTAGACAGTCGTCCTTGTCAGCCCCCCCCCCCCGTCCGGCATCACTGACAAGGGGAGACCACGCCGGAAAATCTGGGTGAACTTTCTAGGCCACTGCAGGGATCGAACACCCGACCGCCAGGAAAACGAGCCAGCGTCTTACCCACTTAGCCACCCTGACCCCCCACGAATAAGTAGAGTAGATAAATAATGGTATCTTAATTTTCACTTTCAGTTATTGCTGTACAGATGTGGTAATTAATGCCCATACATATTTATTTTTATCTGCTGGTTCATCCAAACCGAATTGGGGAATATGATTGATCGAAGCCCATTAAGATAAACATGAATGATCGAAGACCATTAAGACAAAAATATCCAAGTTATGTTTTTGGATTTGCAATATTATTGCAGGTCTTTCTTTAGGCCTGAAATGTTATCTAAATTATTAATTAACCTATCCAGACCATAACCAACTCGAGATGGCATCGATAGCCTACGATCTTTAGTGGATTATGAACCGATTTACTGCACAACTTTCCTTCACGATTTAACGATTAAATGGATAATCGAGACTATGCTGTTTATCGTACTGACTTTAGTAATGATGATCAAGGCTAGCCGGAAATTACAACCGCTTAGTTCTTGGTTCAAAGTGGATCAATTTGAATGAAATTTTCAGCAAATTGCCTTTACATTATCTAGTTTTTAACTATTATAGTGAGAACTGCCAACTCGTTATCGAATCTCCCATAATGTATCTTTAAATTAAAATCGATTATAAGTTAAAATCAATTAAAGGGTACAATCGATTACATTAAATTTAAATTAAAATCGATTAACTTTAATATTGATATGTTTATTATTCTTATATTGAACTAAGGTATGTTTGTGTATAAACGGAAGACCGAAAATAGAAACAAAAAAAAACTGATTATGGCCAAATCTTCATCAGTGCAGTATAACCTGTTCACAATTTTTTTAAAAAAATTACAATTATGTTAGAAAATGGATTCTACAATTTTGACTTTTGCATGCGATATGTAGAAAGTAAAACAAACTCTTCACTTGTACATTTTGGTATGTTTGTATTTCGTAGTGTTTGCAGTAAAATAAAAAAAGATAACAAATTATGTTAGGAAAATAATTGGCAAATGTTAGAGTTTCCACGAGGTTCTTAAGATGAACTGAAATGGAAAAAGAGTACCATCTGGTAATTTTGGTATTTCTATATTACAAAAGATTTTCTAATTGTTCAAAACTCAAGCTTTTCGATAAAGAGCATTGATTAGAGCATACTTGGAACATTGTTTTTGGAGTCTTGGCTTTCTATATATCTTAGACAAGAAGAGCAAAGACGAACTTAATTATTTTCACTAATAATACATTTATTTTTTTCTTGATACTATTTCGTGGACGCGATGAGGTCCACTAAAGATGAACACGCAATAAGAAAGAGAACTTAGTTTTTATTGTTAAGGAGACGTGTGAATATGATTATATTGTTTGTATTATTTATTGGTTAATTACAGATGTTAATCTTATCGGGTTTCTGTTTTCATATATTATGTGCTGGGAAATAAAGTCTATATTTAAGTTTTAATGACTAAAATATCAAAGGTGTATAAGATCTTTATTTATCACGGATGGGGGTATCGTGGAGGTGTCAGATCTTTACTATCACGGATGGAGTTGTCAGATCTTTACTTATCACCGGAAGAGGGGTGGGGAGATCTTTGCTTATTGCGGATGGGGGATGGGTAGGGTGGAGGTGCCAGATATTTACTTATCACGGATGGTGGCTGCTGGTTATCACGGATCACGGACGAAGGGGCGGGGTGGAGGTGATAGATCTCTACTTATCACGGATGGATGGAGGTGACAGTGACAGATCTCTACTTATCACGGATGGTGGATGTCAGTTCATTACTTATCACGGATGGGGATGGGGGTGTCAGATCTTTACTTATCTCGGATGGAGGTGTCAGAACTTTACTCAACGCACAAATTATCGGATGGCTTGTGGTGTAATTAAAAGCAAATATTTGAGGTGAATATTAGAAAAAGTTAGCAACATGACCAAAAATACCCCCCGAAGCAACAAATTAAAACTATTCGACCAAGTCTCCACTCACATCACTCTCAAGTACCTTTACCCATTATCATATATATTCTAAACCACGCCGGAAAATCACGAGGAACCTTCTCAGTCAATCCGGGACCTCGTGGTTATCGACCTAGAACCTTACTCACTGAGCCACTGTGGCTCCACACTGGGGGCGAACCCGAGACCGCCAGGATAGAAAGTCAGCACCTCACGCACTGAGCCACCACGGCTCAAAGGAAAAACGAAAACGAAATAGAACATAAAAAAATGCATTTTTATTATTTTATAATATATGCATCACAACTCATTAATTAACCCCCCCCCCCCACAGAATAACGGTTTGACAAACTGACAACACGCCAATATTTTGTATACTCTTTCCACATTGTAAAATGACACGCCTTTATTGGAATATAGCTATAAATACGCTGAAAAGAATTAAAGGGACACGGTACAATAAAACCAATCATTGTGGTTACCTAATTTGATAGGTCCATTTTATCCTGTGCCTCTTTGATGGGGTTACTAAATTCTGCAATTTTATTGTTGTTTCAAAATAAATTCAAAGTGCATTATGTAAGATTTAGATAAAGGATAAAGAGCTGATAGTTCCCGCTATAATAGTTAGCAAATAGATAATGAAAAGAGAATATGTTAAAAATTTCAGTCAAATTACTTCATTATGTGTGGAGTTATGACGATTTGGAGAACAGTGTAGTCTCGATTGTCAGTGTTACCGTTGTTACGATAATAAACCAAGTCTTGATTATCCTTTTTATAAATTTAATTATTAACTGGCAATCGTGTTTAAATCCTTGGCATATGAATAGATGTCTAATTAATGATTTATATAACATTTGAAGCCAAACAAAGGATCTGCATTATGCAGATTTACATCTTACATAATGTACCTTTAATGGTTTAATAATAATAACACTTTTCAGTCTTTGTCTTTCTATAGTTTAAATAATACCCAAATTTTTATTTACCGTCATATTGTGCCTTTAAGGAAGGTGTGGATAAAGTACAAAGGTTTTATTGTTAAAAGTGTCCAACTCTCAAACTGCGGATGACGGATTGCAATCGGTAAATCAATCAAACTAATTTTTGACATTGGATTCAAACACGCCTTGAATTTAAACACATACATTTCAATGGAGTCGTTGTCTGCTCGTTTGAAATTTTGAAACTTTAAAACGTACGCCTTATCAAAATGAGATGTCTATCGCATGAGAATAAAATATCTTGTATGTTCAACAATTTGCAATAATCACCCCTGAGATATGCCTCTATTGTACGAACTCTTGTTAGAACATAACAGGTTGCAATAATTGTTAACCTATTTTTTTCTGAAATTTGCAGTAACAAAAACAACAATCAGTATTAAGAGTTCCGTAGTTACGTCCCATTGTTATGAAGTCTATGTAGGATGTTCTATCCTTTCAAATTATTCAATTCATTGCTACGAAGAACACTATTTCAATGTTTTTCAAGAGACACCCCAGAGTTAAACCACTTTATTTTTTTGAATTGTCAGATATCCTCCCACAATCTCATATAACAACTATTGTTCTTCTAAGGAATTATTAGTGAGCAGAAATTAGCCCGTGAATCTGTTATCACTCGTCACTTCAGTTAGTTATATAAAGGATAACTCGTGTTTTCTTTTTGCGTTCGTCACTTCCCTTTCTTGAACGCTTCATAACGCATATATCGTAGCAATGATCTCTGTGTTAAAATTATATTTGAAATGTGTTTAACCAGTTCTATCACATATGTGATAATGACTGACACCAATATTGTCCTTTAAGGCGAGGCACTTCGGCGAGATATTATTTCTCTCGGTTATCAAGGGATCTTTAAGGGGCTTTGAATGACACAGGTAGGATTCGCAGTGTTTGTACGATATGAAGGACTAGACGCTATTCACTAACATACTGAACCACCGACAAGGGGAAACCTGACTGGACAACCCTGAGAAACATTCTCGACCAACATCGCGACCGAACTCAGTAAACCATATTGTGACTATAATTTGTTTTTATTCTTTTTGTTAAGCTACCCAGCGCTATGCCATGATGAACAATACAAAATGGTGGAATTATAATTACATTTTAAATTACTAGATCTCTTTAAAAAGGGGTAAGATATAAAATATAAAATTGTCCATTTCTGTTGATTTGTTTTGCGTTCCATTGTTGACACGCTAAGCCGACATAATAATATGAAACTATATTCAGTAAACATGCCAACTAGGCTTTATCTGTCGAAAAAAACTTAAATGTAAAGAGCCTGTCCCATCACTGACCAAAACACGTCAATTTTGAAGAAGTTGGGCTGTTTTAACACATAAAGCTGATTAATGGATATCTCTTGAAATTAGCTAATGATTGTTTCACCAGACTGATACCAGGCTAAGTATAATTGCCACTACCTAGCCATTCTACCCAATTGGAAGAGATTAAGTAAGTTTTAACGCATGAGAATGGTTAATTGCGAGATTTTCTTATGGATATCTCTTGAAATTAGCAAAGGAAGGTTCACCAGATTGACGCCAGGCCAAGTATAAATGCCACCAGTTAGTCACGCTGCCAGCCTGAGAGCGCAAAACTGTAAGTAAAATATCGGGACTTAAAGTTAAATGTTTTGATTCACATCGCCTATAGAACATGAAGGAGCGTCCATTTTTGGGATGCCAGTCGTCCATTATGTGATAACTTGTCTCGCCATCAATCATCAAGCTATCACAATCTGAATTACCTTCTTCTACGTACATAGAGCGTAGCGTCGCAAACGGATGGATGGACATGTCCTGGGCGAACTTAAGGTTCGATACGACAATTTCAGTTTCCTCAATAGTGCTCGATAATTTGAAATCCGCAGAACTTCCATCGACGTATCGGATGTTAAATTTAAAGCTATACGGATCGATGTCCACTTCACTGATCGGAGCAGAAGGTCGATGAGATTTGGGATCTGTAGGACCAATTATTACAGATGACCCGAAAGGAATCCAATCCAATCCTGGAGGAGGAAGCTGCAGCAATCTGGCATTGCCGTCCTGGTACAGAACAAATATCTGAGCATAGCTATCAGTTGTCCATGGGATTGGTCGAGATACGCGGAAGTAAGCCACATTGGGGTATATTTCTGCTTTAGGTAAAATATTGATTTTCATGGACTCAGGGGCTCGCCACCAAAAATCCATATACACGGCGTCAATAACAAGTTCCCCACTTTCAAATATAGTTTCTGTAATTTCTGGTTTCATAACACGTCTCTCGAGCTGCATCTCTCGGATGGTTATGGACGACGTAGCGTAGGAATTAAACGTAACGGTTACAGAGTTTAGTTTATCCTCCGACCACGTAAAATCTGGGATATCAAATCTCATCACGCGTTCCCCTGGTAAAAAGTACTGACTCTTCAGTATTATTGACCGCGGAGATCGACCAGTCAACACAAGTCTGACTTCCACTACTCTGTTTACTGGCACTATGGACATTTTAAAAATCGACCCTATTTCCGCATCAATGTGACCCTTTGATCGTCCGAACAGATTAAACGTTATGCTAGTGCTTTTCGACAATAGATAGCTGATGCTGTTTTGGAAAACAGACATGGTAGCAGAGCCAGCTTTATAAAGTTTAATTTTAGATGGCAAAGTGATGTTCGTAAAAGTCCAATATACATGTGGTAAAAACGAACAACCTGTTGTGTTTTCTCCACGGCGGTTCGCAAAGGTTGTATAAGTCGGTAGTGAAGCTGTGAGCGAATATTCCTGTATACCATGAAGGACTATGGGGATCTTGACATTATCTTCTTCGGCACATTGGGTGGGATAACTGGATTGGGAGATAAGACCGTATTGCGGCAGCTGGTTAGAATTTTTGTTGACGACAACGGGTCCATTAGCCTGACACAATAACTGACAGTTTAGCATCTCCTTGGTGAGTCTTTTGTCCGATATATCTAAAACTAATCCGTCAATTTCTACACCGTCTCCTGATACAATCTCTAGCTTCACAACATGCCAGCCCCGCTGTAATTCCAAACCTGTCTGAATAACAAAATCCTCAAATACATTCCACATTTCTCCCCAACCAGTCCAATTTCTGGTTGTAAAGGTTGCTACCTTGATATCATCCATGTACAGCACGCATTTATCGGGAACACCATCGTTTGAATATCTCACTTTGTTGATAAAAATCGTCGTATTTTCACGTAAGCAGATATTAAAGGAAATGGAAGAACCAAGTCCTAGTTTCACAACTCGTCCGGTCGTCGAGTTAGATCGCTGACTAAACGAATGATTGCCACGAGCATCAGCAGCATTTAATGTAAATAACATTCCATAACATGTTAAAGCACAAGAGAACAATACTAGTACAATAATATTCACACATATAACACATCTATATTGAGCCATTCTAGAATTTCTACTATCCTAGTTACTTCACATATATATATTTTAATAATCTTTCTTTTATCACTACAACTTCTGATGTCTACAACACGACCAAGCACCTGTTTTATATTTAGAAATATAACATTCAGGATAACAATGGTAAGTATTACAAAAGCTAAATTATTTCAAATCAAAGTCTCGTACACGCTGTACATGAGTAATATCTACACTTTAAAACATATGGTCGACACGGTGAAGTCTTACAGTAAAAGTTTTATAAAATGTTTACAATACTACATCTGACACCGATTTATTAATACTTTAGCGCCCACAGTTTTCACGGTTGTGGATAGCAGTCTCAATGATAAAACTTAAACACGTTAAAATAAGTTCTCGTCCATATATTTCTTACCTTGATCTCTTATCCCAGTTTTTCTATTATTTTAAAACAGAACACTCCTTTGATTTATTGCATTAAATCCAAATCAATCTATCACGTTTTATAGCAGAATTTCAAATTATTCAACAATTAAAATTATTACTATAAGAAATAAATATGCATATTAGTTAGTAACAGAGTTATTAATGACTTTTCGAAAATATCTAGTTCACATTTGTCGCTCGTGTATTTTATTATCTACTTGATCACAATTTATTACAAAAATAAATTCCTATTCACCTTGCGCGTAATAGGCTGATCTGTCAGAATTGTTTGACTGTTCACTGTGACTGTTTAAATACACTAAACATTAATACACCTTGGGCTATTAGTAGTTACTTCCTGACAATAGTTACATCTGTCCACTCCTACACACGAGTAACTCACTGACTGTTTCATTTAAGTGAACATTAAAGTATTAGTTTAATGGTCACTTACTTGCAATATTAGCAGCTGTATATTACGTTTGTTCACTCAGATACACGAGTAACTCACTTTTACTGGATGTTCTGATAGTATAAGTAAATATCACTGGGCAATTTGTAAACTTGCTGAAAATGTTATTTATACACATTCAGGAATTCGTGGCATCATTTCAGGGAAATATTTACTGTATTAATTATTGGATAATGTTCACAGTTGTTCATCATTTCTTTCTGCCAATTGCTGTGGTGTCTGAAACAAATGCTGGGTTTATCACACTTGCATTGAATTTATACGATTTTTTCAAACGGGTTTAAAGTAATCTAATGTCTAAAAACCTTAATTGAATTTAGAAAGCACGAAAATTAAAAAGTTTTATTTAATTAGATTATGTAAACAAAAAGTAGACCTTTGAAATGGGTTTGGCAAATTTGATTAATTGAAATAGAATCAGTTGAGTTGCATTGCGTCATTGATAAGGTATCTTTGTATTGGTATAATTTGCATAAACAAGTATACAACTTTTAATTACATACAAAAACTTCAAATAAAATGAAATGGGGGTTTAATGTGTTACTGTTTTGCACCGACTGGGCTAATGAAGAAAGGTATGCTATACAGTGTGCTACCAGGGAAGTTTTGTCCGGACTGCGGCGCTACGGGATATTTTTATATTGCATTCCAACTGCCAGGGGA